CCATAATTTGCATCCTCAAACACAGTAAAATAACTTCGTGGCATCTCCACCATCAGATAGAGAGGAGGCAATAACGTGATGCAAATATTTGAGGCACTGTTCACGGGTGCTCAGGATTCAATAAATAAAGAATATTGTATATAAGAGGACAATGTAGTTTATCACATAGCAAGATACGTAGCCCTCATGGGATAAGAAGGAATTTGATCAATAATAAAGAATATTCCTCCTATATTTGCTAAATACAATTAGTTACATTTATGCTCCAACATCCCCCCTAAAACGAGAGGGTGTAACTTGCAGCTCGAGTTTGCGTCTAAAATTTTGAAACTGTGTGCAGCTAAGAGGCTTGGTCAAACAGTCAACAATCTGATAAGAAGAAGGAAATATCTGACATCAGTGCAACCAGACTGCACCAAGTCTCGAATAAAATGAATATCAATTTCAATATGCTTGCTCCTTGCGTGTTGAACAGGGTTAGTAGCTAGTGCTTTAGCACTTATATTTTCACACCACATCACAGATGGTTGTTTTAGTGAGAGACCTAACTCAAACAAAAGAGATGGTATCCATTTAATTTCAGCAGCCCCATCAGCTAGTGCTCTATATTTAGATTCAGTGCCAGACCGAGACACTACTCTGTGTTTCCTTGATGACCTTGAAATAAAAGAACTTCCAAAATAAACACACATACCGGCAACTGATTTCCTATCATCAGTATCAGTAGCCCAATCAACATCAATATAAATAAACAATCTTAGAGAATTCAGAGGTTTCAACTGAAGACCAAAATTAAATGTGCCTTTTAGAAATCACAGGATACATTTAACTCCTTGAAAATGAATATCTCTAGGTTCAGATAGGAACTGACTGAGCTTGTTAACAGAATAGGCTGTATCTGGCCGAGTAGTTGTCAAGTATTGTAAAGAATTTATTGCTTGTCTATAAATGACAGGATTTGAGATTAAAGTTCCTTACTAGCAGAATATTGACAACTAGTAACCATTGGAGTGGAGACTGGAGCACAACAAAGCATATTGAACTTCTTTAATAAATCCAAAGTATACTTAGCTTGACTCAGATAAATTCCAGAGTTGGTATGACAGATCTCAAAACTTTGGAGCCATCTTCGAATGCAATGCTAATTGAAAACTTTTCTTATGAATAATTAGGAGCATTGAAAATTCTTCCGTTGCTGTGGAATAAACATAAACATTTTTCCCGTTTTTAAAAGGAGCATTATAATTATTTTAAATCCAAATAGAAATACAGATTCTTTTTGTATTTTGTGGCACCAAAAGTTCCAGTGAAAACCAGTATCAGTTGATTGGGAACATAAATGTTATTATTCCTTAAGAATTCAGAAAGCTGCCCTGGGAGGAGCCTTTAGTCTTCCTTGTTAGGGGAATTTTCAATCATTGAGAGGAGATTCTCAGCCATTACAAACGAAAGTAGAAAGAATCTTAAAGAAAGGGAAGTCGTCAAAGTACAAGAAATGATGATAGTGTCAAGAAAGATCTTTCATGTGGATGCGCAAGTGGAAAAGAAAGTTCTACCGATCGAGCGGAAAATTTGACAGTTCAAGATATGATGAAAACACAATGAACTAGAGGATGACGTCGATTTCAAATGCCACAAAAAATCTGAGGGGAGAACGATTGAGGACGATTTTTGAAGGACGATGGGGATTTCAAACTACAAGCTCCCAAATCATCATCACAAATCTCGTCAAAGTAGTCCGTCATCATCCTCAACAAAGTCATCCTCCCTGGTGGATCTGGAGGTTGGTGGCTAAAGAAGGCGGGAGGACAAAATGGTTAAAGGTCTAGTTCCATGGAATTGGAGCTCAACTCGGACTAAAGAAGTAGAAGTTTTCATATTTGATGGAATTGGTATTTCCATTTTGCACCAGACCAAACAAGCCAAAATCTCAATTCCAGTTTCACCCCCTCAATTACAATCCACATGAAAACATGGTGCACATGTTTTGGCTAAAAAATATATCTATGAGGACGTGATAAATGTTACTTAACTTGCCAACTAAAGACTCATCATTAACAGAAAAGAAAAAAATTTGTTAGCTAACACTGACTGCAATTTGATATGTTGTCATAGATTATATGTGTTTGCCTCTGTCGATATATAGCTCTAGAACTAACTAACCATGGCTATGTAATATAGAGAGATAGATATGTAACTTGTAATAATATGGCTAGTTGATCCTTATTACACATGGATCACGTGGCATGTTTTGGGAGATAAAATACAGATGCCAGTTACTCCACATTATTAAATTTTGAATTCCAATTATTCTTTCATGAATGCATTAAGGACAAAAATATTCTCTAATTCAAAGTTAACTGAAGTTAGTGATCAACATCAGTGTTTGTTAATCAAAGGGCAGCATCACAATGATTCTGATACTTAAAAATGAATTACCACAAAAAACAATCTGGAATCTTCAATGTGTCTCACAAAATAATTTAGAGGTAAATATGCCATTTAACCTCCTATTAAGCTATTATCCCATAAAAAGCCCACATTTTCTATTACAATATTTATTTATTGATGTGATATTAATATAAAATCAAATCATTCATTATTATCAATTGAAATGATATGTTCCAGTCCACATACACAGCATTTTATTTATTTATTTGTTTTACTCCAAAATTGAAGAACTAGAAAACAGATTATGTGGACTAAATTAGATGAAATGATGTTGAAGAGCCAGAACCGCATAACGAGTAAGAATGAAAGTCCAAAATAAAAATAAAATAGGAGAATTATAATGAGGTGCCAAGGAAGAAAAATAGTTATTAAAAAGTTTTAATAACAACTTAAACAGTAATGATAAGTTTCAGAGTAAAAAAATGACAAATTTTAAACTTGTTTTGTAATTATTTTTCTTTCTTAGGACCTAATTATAATTCTCCCAAATAAAATTTAAAACAATATTATGCAGCTTTGTTTTATGTGCATTTTTTTAAGAATTGATATGTACGAATAAGATATAATTTGGAAAAAAATAACATGTTATCAAAATATCGTCATTTAAATTCTAGCTCGATCTCGTGCCTCTCTCCTATGGGGTCAAGTGAAGGTCGGCGCCTCAACAGCAGAGCACCGTCTACAATGGGAACCATCAAATTCAATGTGGATGGGTCCCTTGATGCTCAGAAGAATGCGCGGGGATGCGGTGGCCTAGCGAGAGATCACAACGGCAAGACTCTGTGTGGGTTCTTATTCCGGCCTACTGATGGGTCCAGCCTTACTACTGAGATCTGGGCAATTTTATGGGCTCTGAAGGTTGCATGGGATGGGGGTTTCAGAGACGTTATCGTGGAAAGTGATTGCACCGAGGCCGTTAATGCTGTCGCTGTAGGGGCGGAGGAACATCATCCCGACGTCGATCTAGCAATGGAGGCACAGCAGATGCTGAAGCGAGAGTGGATGGTCGATCTCTCTGTTTGCGACAGAGACAAGAATCATACTGCTGATGCGTTTGCATAGTTTGCAAGCTCGATGAGAATGGACCTGTCGGTATTCACTGAGGTTCCGGAACAGCTACGTCTACGTGGACTAATGCTTGTTACTTAGTACGGTTTCTTTGTATCTCATGCTTTTTTCATCAAAAAAATAATACTCCTCCGGTCCTTATTATAATACCCCATTTGACTTTTTATTTAGTCTTAATTATAAGACCCCAATTCATTTTGTCTCTTATATTTATGCATTTTTTTCCAAAATAATCCTTCTAATAATGATAGTTTTAACTAATATACTTAATTAGCAAGGATATTTTAGGAATGACAACACTTATTTATTATAAATAACCAACTTAACTTACTTTCTTAATCTCCTCAAATAAGTCAATTGGGTCTTATAATTAGGACCGGAGGAGTATTACCTCCTTCTGTCTTTAATATAAGACCCAATTTGATTTTTATATTAGTTCTAAATATAAGATCCTAATCCATTTTGTCTCTCATATTTAGTCAATTTTTTCCAAGATAGTCTTTCTAATAATTATAGTTTTAGCTAACATATTTGATTAGTAAAGATATTTTAAGAAAGACAACACCTATTTATTACAAATAACTAACTTAACTTCTTTTCTTAATTTCTTCAAATTAGTCAACTGGCTATTATAATTAAAATTGGAGATAGGAAAGATACTTGAATCAGATGGAAAGTTAATTTAATTATTAATATAAAATATAAAATAGGTCCTGAATAATGGTGACGGCAAGCAAGAATTTCTCTATGGCCATTACCGTGGAACTGCATAGTGGTGTGAAACCGAAAAGCGCTGGCCAAAAAGAGGGAGAAAACTCGAATCTTCTATTTTGTTATGAATATTATAATATGTGGATGTCTATCTCCTCTTCTTCCTCTTCCTCTTCCTCTTAACTTCATCATCAACTCCCACTACTTCCACTAGGCATTAATCTTCCACTACTCCATTACCTTTCCACTATGCCTTTAATCTTGTAACTCCCCCCACTCATATTCATATGGTTTATTGTCCACTATCTATCATTTAAGTACAAATGTAACTTATATGTGAGACTATGCCTATAAATAAGGCATGTCATTGTATTGTGAAGTAAGTGAAGCAAGTGAAGGAATAATACAATATCATTCTCTCATTTTCTTGTCTACTTCTCTTCTCCAATCTATTTTCATTGTTGGTTAATTTCATAACATATTTTTTATTTTAAAAAGTATTAATAGCAATATGAAAAGGACAGAATGCGTAATAATTTTCCGGTAATTTGTGAAGCCAGGAACTGTAATTGTAATTGTGTGGAAAATCTGAGAGGGTGCAATCAAAAGATTCCACATAGCAGAATCACATGGGATGGCCCACATAAGCGGAATCTTACTGTGGAACCCTAAACGCATGCAATAGTTATAGCATCCTTCCAGCAACATCGAAAGCGCGTGCCTTCCGCACCCATAAATACCAACCTCCTCTGTCCGAGCTTCGTCCTTCATCCCGAGTTTCTTGCGCTGCGGCCGTTTACGCCAAAACACAAACGCTCTGTCCCAATATCTATTCTTTGAACCATTCCACGCATTGCAGGTTTACTATTCTTCTTCAGATCTGGGCTTTAGCGAGCTACTTTCTGTCTAGCTCATTTCTTATTGTTCGACCGACTAAATCACTGCTTAATCTTGCCTCTCAGGCCGTTTCTGCCAGTTTAAATATCGGGAAGTTGATATTGACAGACAAACTTTGTCCGAAGCTGGTTTCAGTCGAGGGAAATTCCGCTTGGAGCTTCTCTCTTTGGCCGATTGAAACCTGTCGCGAGGTTTGTCTGATTATCTTCAATTTTATTTGATTCGAGTTTCTGCGATGCAGTGATCTTGTTTGATAAATGAGTTTGCTGAATTGTCGATTGAGAATGTATCCGGCATTCTTCAAATGCTTAGATCCGTAAATTATGCTTAACTTCTTCGCTTGAAAGGTGTATTTCAGAGAATTTGTTTTTGGTTTGTGATGCTCTACCAAACAACTTTTTAAGCTTAATTCTGTAAAAAGGATGTAATTTTTTGAATTGAAATGCACATTTCAGAGAATTCTCACTTCTGTAGAGGCAGTTCATGGTGTTTGGGGTGTTACTTGTTTTGTGGGCTACGTGCTTCTGTTTAGGCTAGTTTACTTCCTTTTAAATGATTATCTGTTCCCAGAGATTTGTTTTTCAAGAAAGTTAGAATTTTATCTGGATCGCATACTCTTCTCCTCACATAAGGGTCTGGCTTTATGCCCAAAATCGCTGCGTGCCCCATTTTTACGTTTGTCTTTTGCTGGATATTTTATTTGCACTGACTCTTCTTTTGCTCAAAACCCATTCCTGTATCATGTGTCTTACAGGTCATTATTGTGCAAGGACTAGAAAAATGGACAGAAGTATTGCAAGCGTCATGAAAGCAGTTGAACCATTGCCAGAGGATTTTGATCCAAAGACTGTGATTAAGGATCCTGTACCACCAACAGCTGAAAATAATGGGAGTGTTTATGCGGTGACCGAGATGAGTGAGGATAAAAGTAAAAGAGAAATAGTACTAGGCAGGAATGTTCATACCACATGCTTGGAAGTCACAGAACCAGATGCTGATGATGAGGTGACAGGGGACAGGGAGGCTGATATGGCAAGTGTTTTGGCTAGATACAGGAAATCTCTGATGGAAAGGACGAAGCATCATTTAGGTTTGACAGTGTCTCCTCTTGCTCAAATTGCTTCCTCTGGTGCATTTCTGATGTTTATGGTGTCCTATTTGATGTGTTATGGAAAGGGTTCATAACGGGAAAGCTTTTATTACCCAAAACCTTCTTTTATGCTCTGGTAATTGTAGAAGAGCTTCAGAAAACTACCTCACAGTTATCATAGAAGCTCTTGTTTACGATCTTTCATGTTCAGGGAATTTATCATTGCATAATCTACAAAAATGCATTCATATAATCTTAGCTTCCTGTTAGGCAAGACTTTGAATGAGTTTGGGCAATTTTTGAAGTCGAGATTTTTTCCTATTAGCCTGTGAGGCCTTTTTTATTTTCATATCTTTTATTTTTGAACTACCTGTTCCAGGTTATCCCTATAATTTGGATTTCGACTATGGTGCCCTTGCCCAGCTGCAGCACTTTTCTATAAACAATTTAGGAGATCCATTCATTGAAAGTAACTATGGCGTCCACTCACGGCAGTTTGAAGTAGGTGTTTTGGATTGGTTTGCCCGATTATGGGAGATTGAGAAAAATGAATACTGGGGCTATATAACAAACTGTGGCACAGAAGGGAATCTACATGGCATTCTAGTTGGGTTAGTTTCATAAATTTCAATGAGGATGATATTTTATAAATTAGTAAAATGAATGCCTGATATGGTGAAAATACCTTTGCAGGAGAGAGGTTTTCCCAGATGGGATTCTGTATACCTCACGGGAAACGCATTATTCTGTTTTCAAAGCTGCTCGCATGTACAGAATGGAATGTGTGAAAGTTGACACGCACTGTACCGGTGAGATTGACTGCGATGATTTCAAGACCAGGATTATTCGTAACAAAGACAAGCCAGCAATTGTAAATGTGAATATAGGCAAGTTCCCCCCCTCCCCCCAAAACACACATAAACCCTCACACACACACACGAGCATGAGTGCACTTTAGCCACCGTCCCTTCATTTTTTTGGTTGATTCTAGGGCTTACGCTTGGAATCTTGCAGGCACAACTGTCAAAGGAGCTGTGGATGATCTTGATCTAGTAATAAAGACACTTGAAGATGCAGGATTTTCACACGACCGATTCTACATCCACTGCGATGGAGCTTTATTTGGTCTCATGATGCCTTTTGTCAAACGCGTAAGTATTGAATGTGCTCTATTATGCTTCCTTTTGACCCTCTAATGATTGATTTGGCACAGAAATTTGGTTTCTTCAATGTGCTGATCTCTATTGTCGTAGCTTCTGCCTGATAACTGACCTGACAACTTTGTTTTTTCCTTTTGGGGGAATTACAGGCTCCAAAAGTCTCTTTTAAGAAGCCTATAGGCAGTGTGAGTGTTTCTGGCCACAAATTTGTGGGGTGCCCTATGCCTTGTGGTGTGCAGATAACAAGATTGCAGCACGTCAATGTTCTCTCCAGGAATGTGGAGTACCTGGCTTCCAGGGATGCCACAATCATGGGCAGTCGAAACGGACATGCTCCCATTTTCCTCTGGTACACCTTAAACCGAAAGGGATACAGGGGTTTCCAGAAAGAAGTACAGAAATGCCTGAGGAATGCACATTACTTGAAAGACCGCCTCAAAGACGCCAGGATCGGCGCTATGCTTAATGAGCTAAGCAGCACAGTTGTGTTTGAGCGGCCACATGATGAGGAGTTTACTCGCATGTGGCAACTAGCATGCCAAGGCAACATTGCTCATGTTGTTGTGATGCCGAACATTACAATTGAGAAGCTTGACAAATTTCTGGAGGAGTTTGTGCAGAAACGAGCCAAATGGTTTGAAGATGGGAAGTGCCAGCCTCGCTGTATTGCGTCTGATGTGGGTGAGAAGAGTTGCCTTTGTGCCTTGCACAGGTGAAACTGTGGCTAGCCATTTTGGGAACTACGTAGGATTCTTATAGATGTGTTTGTTCATTTGAATTGTTGTGTGAGGCTTTGGTGGAAATTTGATACACTGAATCTCGCATTCACAATTGTCTGTTGTCCATGATGTCTTGGTTTCTTCCAAGAAAGTAATAGGCGAACGAAAACTTGTGGAGGGCTTGCTTTAATGGTAATGACTTGTCATACGGAGAGCAGAGAGCTGTCATAGTTAAAAATGAAAAGTTATCTTTTTTTGGAAGCCGACCCAAGCATCCTATGTCTATTGGTGTTCTTCTTTGCGATCATTGTGAAGGTTTGAGCCTATTTTCCCATCCCTATGAAGAGAGCGCTACTTATATGAATAGCAAAAGAATGTTGCTGTTAAAATTTAAACACGAGTTGTTAGTGGGGATTTATAATAAATTTTGAGGGTAACAGCTTTAAACAGAGATCTCATGATGTATATATTGAAGGCAAATGTGCCTTCAATCATGACATGTCTTGAACGAACGTTATAAAACTGAACAAACCTAAACTTAGACAAGCAAACTGAATATACTAGAGCCTAAGCGAAAGTACTAGCCCTCCTATTTGACTTTCCGTTTGGTTCGATGAAAATGGAGGAGAGAGAGCAGGAGAGAAAAAAATTTTAATAAGCTCTATTTAAAGAATAGAAAAAATGGGGTTGAAAGCTTTTAATTAATTTTTATTACTTTTTTATATTACTCATTCTTCTTGTTAAAATTTAAAACTCACTTCTCCAATTTTTTAAATGATGCTCATGAAAATTTTTTCTCTTATTTCCTTCCTTCCATTTCCCTCATACCAAACAGTAGCTAAAAGAAAAACCCATCCAACCATTTCGGTATAAAGTATTGAATATGAAAGGTAAGAATTGAAATTGAGATTAGAATTGAGAAAACATGTTAAAAAATATTTAGTACAAGGGATTGCTTATTATTTTGGATTGAGCAAACTCATGTAGGTGAGACTAGTGAAGCCTTTCATCCCAACAGAGACCCAAACTAGATATATACCGTAGAATTCACAGTTTGAATGAATTTGTATATGATGATGATCGGATCCTGTAAAAGACTTTTTTTTTCATTAGCATGCCATCTTAGGTTCTTTCTTTTTGTGGCATTGGAAAACATACACTGAAACCGTAGTATCATGGGAAGATACCATAAAACATTCAAAAGAGACGTATTGGTCATCTTATCATCACATTCACCACCAATGTCCTTATTTGCTTTGTATCATGAAATACCACATCTTGGACATTTATTTATCCTCACATACTCATTTCTAAATAATATGCAATCATTAGGGCAAGTATATTTTTTTATACCCTAAACCTATCCAACCCAATGTTTTGAAAATAAATTACCATATGAAAGTCTGTTACTCAACAATTCAAGTAGCTCTGTAAAACTAGCATCACTCTACCCATGTTATACCTTTAAGTTTATCAATTTCAACATGCCCAACAACTGTGTATAGTTAGAACACTCTGGATATAAAGGCTTTTCTACACGACTATGCAAACTCAAATATTCAAGAAGATATGCAAAGGACTCCACGAAAATTCTGAATCATATCATCCATTCTGTCACATGAAATATTGTATAGCGTTGATGGTGCTGATTGCTAATATTCAATTTTTTCTTTCTAACTTTGAAGACAGATAGAGATCATCAATTTTTTAAAATTTTTTTCCCGTTTTAGAAAATTAAAAATAAAAAAATAAAGGCTCGTGGCTTTCGTGTTTGGAACACATTACTCCCTCCTATTATTTTATTTGTAAATTATAAATTACCTTCAAATGCCTCTCATCATCATCTCAGTCAGCAAAGCACAAATGAAGATAAGATATTTGGCACATCCTCAATCAGTCGGAAATGCCTTTTATAAAATTAAAACGTGTGGTCATAATAAAACTCCACTTTGCGCACTAACAAAAATTATATCTGAGCACAAAGATTCTGTAAATTTTATATTAATTGCAAAATTTCAAAAAAGCTCAATTGATGGATTCAAGGATAAAAGTAAACATATTATAATAAATAAGAATTTGTGGCTGAATTATAGGTTTTTTGGTCAATTATTGAAATCTGGTTTTATCACTAAAGTACTTACACTTTTCCTTTATTACAATATTTTCATCCTTCATTATACTCCCTCCCTCCCTTATTATAAGCAATATAGGATTCCATTATGTAGATCAAAAAGTTAGTTAAAGACAATAAATAAATAAAAATTAGAAGTTTTTTCTCTAAAATACCTTAATTTATGGGGGGAGAGAGGGTATAAGAAAGAGAATTAAAAAATTATTATAATAAAGAGAATGATGAAAGAGAGAGAATGTATGATGGAGAGAGATGATGATTTGGGAAATGAGACAATAAATATGTGGAATATTAAAAAGAGTAATTAATGGGGCCAAATAGGAACAAAAATTTAAGACAACTTTCCAATGTTGCTTATATTTAGAGATAAGAGGGGGATGGTAGTTGCTGCTCATAAAAAGTGATATTAGTGTACATTTAATAATTTATCTAGAAAAGTGCATAAAATAAGAATTCCGTTGATTGCAACTTGCAATTAAATATGAAGAGATTTACCATACATCCAATGTTTTTCATAAATTACTACACCTTATCTTTAATGTAAGACCTGTTTAACTAATTTACTTAGATTAAAAAGGTTAGGTAAGTTAGTTAATTATAATAAATATGATTTTTTTTAAAAACACCTTAATCATCTTTCTTAATTCTCCATTCTCTCCTACTTGGTTATCCTTGTACAATAGGGAATAATTTGGAAAAAAATTAATAAATGTACAAAATAGATCTTACATTTAGAATTAAGATTAACTCTCTAATCGGGTCTTATATTAAGGATGGAAGGAGTACTACATTTTTCAACACTTGTTTTATAAGCTCTCTCATACTTAATTAATATAAACCTAACATTTATCAAAGTCCAATAATTTAACATTTGTATTACTTCTTTTAAATATTACTCTTTCAATCATAAATATAAGACTCATTATAATATAAATCACACTACAAAATATGGATTTTATATTTAGGATTAGAGAAGTAGGAGAATTATTACGAGATCCTAATTAATAAAAGAATATAATAACTAAAAAGTGTAATAATAAGTGAGCAACATGTAATGACAAGTTTCAGTAGATAAAATGATATAAGTTATTATTACTTACTCATTATTGAAACTTCTTAATGATTACATTTCTTCCTTGATATCTCATCATAATTCTTCCTTAAATCTTTGTGTGTGCACAAAGCTCTAGATTTTACCAAGATGAAAGATTGCTGAAATTCTTCTGTACGAAAAATTATTTAAATTTAATTTATTGAAACTCCTTAATGAATACTTTTTTTGGGGCCAGATCCTTAATGAATAATTATTACATAGTTCCAAATAATCTCTAAATATTACTAACATATTTATGCATTAACAAAGTTTTACAATCTCACTTGAGGACAAAATAAACCCACTTTAAGGAAAAGCAATTATCATTCAAAGTGATCAAAGCAATTATCATGAAAGGTTAAAAAAACAAAAAACAAAAAGCTCATTAAAAGTGATCAACGCTAGCTGCTTACCAAAATTTGTAAGTGAATTAGTAAAATAAATTTGAAATATAGTGTCCTTTTCATTAATCCTTGGACGAATAATTTGTACATCATAGGGCCCGTTGCACTTTATTCAGACGTTACAGCACTAACACAGAATATTAATTTGCTTTAGAATAATATATGGAATCACTTTACTATTTTTGCCTTCTTTTTGTTTCTTAACTTTATATCTCCATTTTATGGGATTCCCTTCTTGTAAAGAAAGAAACCGACTAATATTTAATTAAGGTTTTAATGCATATATAAAATCTATTTTGAATTCCTTTGAAACGCTAATTGTCATATCAAACTTAGCTGATGAAGAAATAGTATAGTCACTTTGAAATTTTGGTTTCACATTAAAATAGTTGTTGCTTCAGAATTTCATTACAATTTAGACTGCTATTTAATTTTTTCCCTTAATTTGACTGTTGAATCTGACATGCAATTATTTTAAAATAGAGGTGCCAACAAATCTAATGCTCTAACCAAAATTTTAAAAAAATAATTGTGAATAACACAGGCCTCCAAATTAATTTCAGTAATACTTGCAAATAAAAAATAAAAAAAAGATTTCCGTAGTACACTGAAAATGATGAATGAAGAATCTGTGGTGTTTGATAAATTAAACTAGACACAGTTGGCTATAGGTTTATACTCATAAAGAAGTTTATTTAATCTATTATAGTTTCGTGCTTCGTATGAGAAAAATATTAACCTTGGTGACTCATTGGGTCATTCTTTTTTTTGTTGGGTGACATTCATTGGGTCATTCTACTTCATAGTGATCTTTACATTTTAATATATATTTATGTAATATTCAATTTTTTTAATATATGTTGATTGTGCCCACTTCTTTTCCTTCCTTTTCTTTTTGGACCGACACACTTCTTTCCTTCATCACCTGCCTGACTAAGGTCTGCTCCCTGGTTATGTCCTTACATGTGTCTTCCACTTTCGATTCGTTCTATGAGCACAACTATTAAGGATGTGCAAACACCCAATGGTATGATTCAATCCAACCCAAGGTAGTTCGGTTCGGTCTAATCCAATTCAAATCAGCTATATTATGAAATCAGACCAGACCAGATGAGACCAAACTGGTTGGTTAGGCTGGACTGGATTCCAGACCAAGTGATTAGACTACCTAGTTTGGTCCAACCCAGTCTAAGTGAATTTTTTTATTTTTAATCATTTGTAATTTAGATGTTATTTCTAATTGTTTTTAATGTTGTTAGAGATTTTTATGTATTTATAATTAAATTTTAATATTTTAGGACATGTTTTATATGATTATAGCTATATTTTATTGTCCTAGTTGAATTTATCATGTTAAAATCATGCTTTGCATAAAGAAAAAAAATTTTAGAAAAAATGAAAAATTGGGATCCTGGGCTGCTTGTACTATCCACTCTGATAGATTAAGTTCAATCCAACTTGACCTTGGGTTATTGCTGGACTAGACCAGACCATAGATTGTCAAATCCAACCTGACCAAAAATCAGACCAGACTTTGGGTTATGCTTTGGTCCGGTCTGGTCCGGTCTGTTCATTGTACAGCCCTTAATTAAGCACAAGTGCGTATATTATATTGTTAAATTATTCAAAAATATTTTCCCACTATATTATCAAAATTATTCAGCCAATCAATTAGTACTGTCAAATTTGTTAATTTCATGCTTTGTTTTGAGATTATTAAGTCAAAAACCAATAAATATGATAAGAATGTTAATAACAGACCCATGCAAAAAAAGGAGGAAAAAAGATAAAAGAAAGAAAGAAAGAAAAAAGTGGGCCTGTGAAAAAAACTTGGCATTAAAATTAAAGATCAAGCATATACTATGGAATTTCAGAATCTGTGAAACCCTAAAATAACAGCAAATAGAGAAGGAATGAAAATTAAAATACAATTTTTATCTGATCATTTTAGTGAAACCATCAACCTAATTAAAATTACATCATATATATATAGGTTGTAGTTACTTTTTAACTTGAACAAGAAAAATTAAAAGCTTTTTAAAACAATATTGAAAATAAGATATATGTGATCAAAGCCCCATGGAACCCACAGACTTTGTTAAGCCAAAAGTGATTGCCATGGCCACCCAACCTCCAAATAAAACCCTCAAAGATGACTTTACCATCGGAGCTTTCCCAAAAACTGCACTCAGAACTCCGAATACCAGCAAGGCAAGGCTCACAACGGCCACCACCACCCCTAACCTCACCTTGTAATCTTTAACGAAAGCCGCCCCGAGAAGCGGCACCACCGCTCCCACGGCAAAGGCCACTGCGGAGGCTACTGCCGCGTAAAACGGGTTCGGCAACTCGGCTTTGTTTATCTCTTTGCCTTCCCTCTTCAACTGAGCTACCTCGATGTCATACTGTGAGTACACCGACACAAACTCCCCTATTGCCATGCTACAGGCTCCGGCGACCATGCCGGCAACTCCGGTGAGGATCATCGTCTTGACGTCCTTCCTAACGGCTCCAACACCCATCATGAGTGAAGCCGTCGAGAGCAAACCGTCGTTGGCTCCGAGGACGGCGGCTCGAAGCCATTGAGCTCTTTGGGCATAATCAACCACTTCAACCTCATCTTTCTGGTGATCATCGTGGAGGTTTTCTTGGTGTGATTCTATGTCGAAAATGAATGTTTTTGGAGGGTTTTTTGGGGGAGATTCGCTGGGAGAAGCTGGTGTGATTTGGCTTGGCTTGTGATCTGCCATGGAAGCTAAGTAGCTAGCTGGATTTTTGTGTACTGAAGAAGAAGGAGGAGGAGGAGGAGGTAATGAATTAATGAGATTTGGATATACGGAAGTGTGGAGGACACACGCCTTGGGAAGATCCTTTTATAGAAGAGAAAAAGTAGGGCTTACGTGGAAAGAACGAAAGAAATTAAGAGAGAAAGAAGAAGCTGGAAATGAGAATATGGAAAGAAGTGGTGGGATGGTGGAATCTTATGCGTTCCCACTTGGAATTAAATTAATAACTATGACCACCACCAATGTTGTCTTTTCTATATTGCTTTGCTTATTATTTTTTCAAAAGACCAACAGTAGGTTTGGTCCAGAGGTTGCTTATCATATTTGTACTCTTAAAATAATTTGATTCTGTGATCCAAGTTGATGGATGAGTAGGAAACTATTGTCCGTTAATTGGTAAGTTGATACTAGTATGTAGATAGAAATTTTAACATACTAAATTTTTTGAAAAAAAATTAATATAATAATTAAAAATTATTATTATCTTTTTTTAAATAAAAAAACCACCTTTTTTACCGAATTTGGTGGAAAATGTGGGGATCTTTATTAAGAAGCAGAGATTAGAGAGAGGGGTGGTTGGAAAGAGATAAATGGTAGGAGGGGTGATATGATAAGAAAAGATGAAAGAGGGGCATTAGGCAAGAAAATGAGGAGGGGAATTTAATGTTTACACGCGTGCAGAGAGAAAGAAATAGAGAGCGAGAGGCAGAGAAAGAGAGAGTGAGGGAAAGGCAAAGAGTTGAAGTGGCTGCTTTCAGTTATTTTGAATGATAAGATAAGTTTTGAGGATCATTTATATGCACAAAATACTTCTTTTTATCAAATTATCTTCATTCATATTTTCTAATACTTCTTTTTATCAAATTATCTTCATTCATATTTTCTATATATCTAGAACTTTATATTAATAGTATTATTATAATGTTTAGAGAAAATTTTATGATTTGGGTGTGGAGTAAGTAATGAGCTTTGCTATTATATGACCATATAGAAATTTAAAGATAAGTTATTAAGAAATTTTAATTGGTTTATATCTGTTCATTGGTTGTTCCAAGAATTTTAAATAAAAATTTCAGTTCAAAAATATATTATTCAAGACATATAGAATATTTATACTGATTAAATTTAAGTTAAATAATTTATTTTGAATTATTTAGTATATTATTGATGTTTTCAATCGGTTTGAAAGTTGAATAAATTAAATATATATTACTAAAAAAATTTTAAGCTAGAGACTTCAATTATAAATTGAGAATTTTATGAAAATAAGATAAAATAAAAATTTATTTATAATTCAAAGGAGTTGTTTAGGTTGGGAAAAAATTTAAATGAGACTAGAATTAAATAATTGAGATTTTAACTTGAGATTTTAATTTTGGGTAATAAATATATATATTCATTTAAGTTATTAAATTTAAATCTTATCATATGAAAAATTTTATTCCCAAATAATATTGTATCTGAGAGTTACTATGTTTATATAATTTTAATTTAGAAGATAGTCTTAGAATTTTAGAGTAAATCTAAAATAGTCGAGTCATATATTAATAAATATTTAAGTGTAATTTTATAGACACTTGTTGAGAGTTTTGGAATAAACATTATGATTATTTGTAAACTACATAGTAGCAAGTAACTCCAAAAATTCTTCCATGTACATGTGAATTGTGTGTAGTCTTATTATTGTGGATAAATACTTTTTGATCCAATTAGATTATGCTAAATTATATGTGTGTGTATATTGAGTTTTCAAATAAATGAAGTTTTAATAAATTACCTTTATCTTATTTGATTCAAGATTATTTCTATAAATTATAATTAATATTTGAATATTTAATTAAATTATAATATAAAGAACTATAGTGTTAGATTGCACTAAAATCTTATTGTTCTTATTTTGAATAATAATATATTTTTAGATGTATTTTGATATAACACTATCTTGTTAAGTTAAGGAGAGAAGGAGATATGAATGGATATACAATTATGACGTGGTATGCTATTACTTGGTACACAGTAGATGACACTTGTCAAGTCTCTTTTTTTCATATTTTTCTGTGGCAAAAAATTCATTGGATCTATAAGATATATGACATCTCCTTATTTTTATTTTTAAAGGAAGAAGTCATAGTCCGAACTTGAGCTCTATATTTTTGGCCAAATATATTTCAAGTATTGATGAGTTTGGAATAATTCAGTAAAATGAATCAAGTTTTCTCGGACTATGCCTTAGGTTATGGCTCCAGTCAGCAGTATAAGAATGGACAGTAATATAAGAGAGGATGTATATTGCATTATTTTTTAATACATTGGAAATTGAGATTGATAGATTGTTGAATTAAAAGTAAAATTGAGTGGAATATAAAAATCCCTAATATCTGCACAAAAAAATATATACATATAATTGAATTTTTATTAACCATATATAGCTCGCCTGTATACGTTAGAATTTTATTAGCTATTAAGACGTTAAATCTTATCCCTTATGTTAATATTTTTAGATGAATGATCTAGTAAAAATCAAGAGAAGATACCAATGGAGCAAGTCATGAAGGCTTCTGAGATTCTCAAGCACATATTATGTTTATTTTATTTGTCATGACTATGAAATTTTAATATTTTATTTTATTTAAGTCATTTCAAAGATTTTGTTTGGAGAAATACTTAGGAAATACTGAAATATTTTTATTTGATATATAGTAAATTATGTGAGCTGTTACAAAAATATAGTTGGCAATTGATAATTTCAAGTGAAAGATTAATTGCACTCATATATAACGAATTTAATTATTTCCTTTTGAGTGAAGAACGAATTTAATTACTTCAATGGCGATTATTAGAGTTTGGTATGATATAACTAGAAATAGATTCAATGTGGGGAAAAAGAAGACAGACGTGGTATATTTATTATACTTATATTGTCATTAATAACTATCTATTTATTAAGAGTATGGTTTTAAAAATCAAATCAGATCTGTAAATTTGGATTTATGTTGGTAAAAATGATTTTTATTTTAACTGATTTTTACAAGTTGAAATTGATATAATAGAGTGATGTGATTCATATTTGAATAAAAAGTTTATAAAAATTTCAGTTCAGGAAAAATTTATTTATGACACATTGAAAACTCAGTTTCAGAAAATTAAAATGATATACAAAAATTTTAAAACAAGAAAAAATAATTTCAATTTTAACTTGACTTCTTTGCTAGAAAATTTATTTTCTCTGAAATTATTCCAATATCACATGTTAGGTGAAAGTGGTATTTTATAATAGAAAAGTTAATGGGAGAGTAACAAAAAAAATCCTGAAAATTGCAAAATCTCAAAGCAAGATTTGTGACATCATTTTAATAATTTTTGACAACAATCAAATTGCAAGTAATAACACATTTTTGTAAAAATATTTGATTTGAGGTTTTGCAATTTTTATGGTCCTTTTTCGTTATTCTCCCAAAGTTAATCTGACATGACATAATGTGTTGCCAAACAAGCTCTTAGTAAATTGGATTTGGCCAATCCAAATCAAAATCAGGTTTGGAGAGAACCAGTTAAAAATTCGCTAAACTGATCATCAATCAAATCGATTCGGTTGTATGAACCAACCCAATTTGTTTTTGAAAAAAATGATAAAAAAAAGCTGAAAATTACTAAATTTTAAATCAGCTTTAGTAATAAATATTTTACTCATCCGGTCCTAATTATAAGACCCAATTGACTTATTTGAGGAGATTAAGGAAGTAAGTTAAATTGGTTATTCATAATAAATAAGTGTTGTCATTCATAAAATATCCTTGCTAATTAAGTATATTGGCTAAAACTATCATTATTAGAAGGATTATCTTGGAAAAAAATGCATAAATATAAGAGATAAAATGGATTGGGTCTTATAATTAGGACCAAATAAAAAGTCAAATTGGGTCTTATAATAAGGACCGGAGGAGTATTTAGTATTGACTATTGACAATATTGAATTTACAATTGATAATAATTTTTTGTTAAAATTTTTTATTTGACATTTAGTAATTTTCAGCTCTTTTATATCATTTTTTATATGTTTTTTAAGGAAAAAAAACCAGTAGCTAAAACAAAATCTTTGCAACATGCCCCGCCCCACTTTTTCATATTTAGCGACATGGGGCTTCTAGAAAACGCTATGAACCTGCATTTAAATTTAGACATACACTGTTAAAAAATTTCTAATTAGGTCATGAGGCGTCATTAGAAATTTGTGAATGCTGTTGAATGACCACAATGGCCCTCTTTAATTAAAAAGAAAAATTAATTATTTTACCCCTCCCAAATAGCTCATTGTCTCTTATGATTATTTTTTAGGACTAGAAAACACATAAATAATTTATAATGTATAAAATTTGTATATATATAATTAAAACCTTCACAAATATTTTAATCCAGCCTTTTAAATTACAATATAAGTACCCTTTAAATAAATATTTTGTCTTTTCATGTTGCAAAAATTTATTTTTGAGATTTTAAAATATCTTAGTTACAAAAGATATTTTATATTAAGTTGTTGTAAATTACCTTTTTGTGTTGCAATACAACGAGGATGGTTGTGAAACTAAGAGTTCAAATGACAGTAATTAATGTAAATTAAAATGTCCTTCTTTTTTGGTAGAGCCCATGATGTGCTAAAAACCACCCCTCTGTTTGAATTTGCTAATAATTTATGGGTACTCTATGGATCGATTAAGTTTAATGACAAAATTATTTTCAGTGTGCACCACCAGTGCTTTTGCCTTACGTCTGTTGATTGGGTTTCTTGACCACTTGAACAATACTGTGTACCTTTTAATAAGGAGATAAGAAAGAAAAAGGTTCAAAAGATTTGCTTTCACTTTGCAGCCCAGGATGTGAATTTAATGTCTTTTTGTTCTCCTCCAAAATTAGGGGGAAAATTTTTCACAAGGATAAAGGAATTTATAGTTTTGATTATATTTGTCATAATTTTAATGCTACACACACATATTATATTGGAAAAACTAATATTGATCAAAAGTTATGTGAAAAAATTATAATTATGCTACAC